GTGATAAACTGAAGGATGAAGTGTTCCTTTATGTGTTGATGTTGAATATTTCAGTACTTTTTACTTGTAGTGGAGTATTTTTACAGTGTGATATCAGAACTTTTACTTAAGTAAAGGATCTAAATACTTCTTGCACTACTGCTGACAGTAATGCACAGAAACCTACATGAACTTTTAAGGTTCAGCAGCAAAGTCTTTCTTACATCATGTTGATGTTGCAACGTTACACTGGCATTTTTCTGAGCGTCTGTCACTGATTGACCAACAAGACCATCAGATTTCATCATGTCAGTCTGTGTTTCTCTGGAAATGATCTGTGGATACAGTTTAAAAAATGTTTAAAGGTGCTGCTCGAGTCATGAAGGACGTGCATGAGCTCATTCATGAGTAGTGCTGCAGGATTCCCCATTTACTTTACCTTTAATGTGTATTTAAGACAAGTGTAGTGACAGTGCTGCAGTCTCTGGACCACATCTGCACGCACCTGCACACGCCCATAAACTTTGTAAACAGTCCATGTGTGCAGGAAGGAGTGTGCGGAGTAAAACTTATTCTTACCGGCCAGGATCGCCTTCCCCGGGTGCGTGAGGTTGGCTTTCCCCGCTGGAGCTGCAGCCGCCAGACACCCGGGTCTGTAAAACGGGCTCACGAATCTCGGTTGTCCAGACATGACTGCGACACCTCCGGCTTAACTTTTCTTTATTTTGTTGTTGTTCTACGTGTCAATACGGACGTGCTCGGTCGCTTCACACCCGATCAGCACGCTTCGAGCCCGGATCCAGTCTGGGAGCGCCTCGTGCAGGAGTCCCGATGCACAAAACATTGACCGTTGGACTTTCAGGTTCAGCTCCGGAGCTGATAAAGTTACCCTCCGTGTTGCTCAGAGGCTGATAACGTCGAGTCAGTGTTCACTCCGGGCGGGGCCGGACACGACACTTCCCCCCCACGGGAAAAAAACGCCATGTTTGTCACTAACATTTAAGGAGGACCGGAGAGATTCTCTGCAAAGAGCTGAATTACTTTAAATACGACGGATCGCCTGTAGAGGGCGCTGTTTCTCACACTGTTATACAGAGATAAATACAAATATAAAAATACTCTTGTGTATATATTTATATACAAGAGTATTTTTACATTTTTCATTCATTTAAATACGACTGTTTCTCACACTCTTATACAGAAATAAATAAATGTGTAAAAATACTTATATATATATATATGAATAATATTTATATATATGTAAAAATTAAATGGAAAATGCCAAGTACCTCAAAACTTGAGTCAAGTATATATATATAGTAATATTGCTACTTTTTCTAACATCTGAGTACTTGTTGCACCACTGTGTTTGGTACATTTTATACAATTGTTTCTCTTTAAAAGAACTTTGATGATTATTTCATATTATATTTTTATATAATTATTATAATCATATAAGTATTATAATTTGTATGGTCGTCACTGTATTACTACTACTACTACTAATAACATAGTGTGGAGAATTTCAGTATTAAACGCATTATTAGTAGGATTTAATAACACCCCTAGTGGTGAGTAGAAGTGTTACAATAATAAATATGTTAGTCACAATATGTTTCCATATGGAATGTGTTATAGGTTTACAATATCCTTACTTATAGAGGATATTATATGTTACAGTATATTAACTCATTGAATGTATTAAATCATAGAAGTATAGTCACTGTAGGTATTAAAACACTAAGAATAGTTTTGAGGGTCAGATAGGGATTGTGAGTGAGGTGTCAGACATGCAGCAGCAAATGGAGGCGACCTCATCGATGGAGGATGGGGCCAGAGGGACGGTCAAATGCCAAGCTGACCAGCAGGACAGAGAGGAGGAGTCCAAGATGTTTTGCTAAGGGATCGATAATGGGAGGGGACAGGATTCAAATGAAGCCAATCACTAATCGCCACTGAGGGTCATTCACACGTTTTATGACAGTATCGGACACTTTCAGACTCTCAGGGGATACAAAAGACAATGTTTGAGGGAGTTTACCTCAGATCACTGCAGCTCTCATTTTCAGCTAACTGGCCGGACTGTGAGGAGATGCGTGTATGTGGTCTCTGCTCTCGAGAACATTACTATTGATAGTTAATTCAGTTTGTAAGTGAACTTTGTGTAGTACATTAAATATTGTTTTAATTTTGAACCGGGTCCAGCTCATTCTTCTGATGCGCGTGCGCAGTAAGAAGCTCGCAGCAGAAGAGTACCTGCGGCCTGCAGGCTCTCTCATCCTTTGTTCTTAAAAACCTAACAATAGTAATAATAATACGTATTATTATTTATTTATTATTGTGATATTTGTAATAATTACAATAATGTGATTATAATAATTATATAGAAATATATTATGAACCTCAATGACCAGGGGCTTCTTATAAATACATTATAAATATTTCTGTGTCCTTGATAAACTTATTGATCAATTTCTTGATCTTTCTCTTCAATTAAACGTTTCTATCTGGTGTACAACTACTCGGTTGAGGTTTTAGCGGATTTGTGGGATTACTATCTTGCTTTTGTATCGACTCTTTGTTCGTCTTTCTCACCGCTACTGCGCATGCTCCATATGTCTCCTTCATTGTGCCCTATAGACACTACTAAACTAAGCTAACTGTCAATCCACTCAGCAGCATCACGACAGGGACATATCCACAGACTCCTCCTTCCAGACTCCTTTAGCACCGGTAAGGAGACATAAATAAAAATAAAAATGAATCTTAAAGCTTTATAATACGTCATAACAACGTGTGTTACCAACTGCTGTCTAGATAACGGTTCGTTTCTCTCCAAGGTTAGCCTAGCATCGTGGGCGATTTAAGCTAACGGTTCGCTGTTATGTAATGATGTTTTAGCCTTGCAATGTACAGTTTAATCCTTGGTTGATGAGGTTTAATAGTGCAGAGATTCACGTTAGCCACGCATTTAGCCACTTTATTAGTGTGTGGCTAGCTAGCTAGCTAGCTAAGCTGCAAAGGTGTGTGTGTGTGTGTGTGTGTGTGTGTGTGTGTGTGTGTGTGTGTGTGTGTGTGTACAAGCAGAATGCAATGAGCAGTTAATAACTAGCTATACCAGTTAGTCAGTGTCCATCTGTCGTCTCCTTTTTATTGCTAGTTAGCTAACTGTTAGCTTGTTACTGCTCACACAGCAGCTAGCTAGCAGTCACCCCCCACACACCTCTGTTCACCGGCCCATCTGCTGTCCTTTGTCCCAGAATAAGATGCTGCACCATCACTTTGTAAATGCTTGAAGATATAGAGACTTTCTGTAAATGTAAGAGCAGCTGTTCAGTCAGTGGACTCATCTCCAGCAGCAGCATCACCAGCCTCAGGGCCCTTCATCTTTACAACCTTGAGAGCCTTTTGTTCTGATGCTTGAGCATCTGCTAGCTCAGCTATTTAAAGTATTTCTGTATATATTTGTGCTCATATTCTGGGTTAAATGCATGTACATATACACATATGTTTGTGGCTTTATAGCTTTCATTGTCGAGCCCATTTGCTGTTCAGCATCCCAGCTGCTCTTAAGGAACAGCTTGTTCCCTTTCTGCTGGAGCTCACCTGCAGACGTGGTTCTTTGATTCTATGATATCTATTGAATTGTTTAAAGTGGATTGACTTTTAATTTAAATGTAAACTGTTAAAGGCCCTGTGCTTTTCTAGAGGTGCACCATCATGGTGGATGACGTTAATGTGACCGTCTCCCCTGATGATGAATATATTAGATTCATCTTTATTGTCTGAGTTCAGGCACCGAGGAAAACAAAAAATGCAGTTTTGCATCTAACCAGATGTAGCTATAGATCTGATATACACAGTACTGTCAGTGGTTTACAAATACTCTGTATTTCAGCACAGCGTCAACAGTAGTACAACGTCTGTGTATGTGAGAGTCTTTATAGTACAAGTGCAGTACGTAGTGAGTGTGAGGCAGCAGTCCTCCTGTATCCGTTTATTTATTTCCTTTATCTACATTAATCCCTCACAAGAAGAAGAGACGTATTGTTCCACATTTAGCTGCTGGTTTATATCCTTTAAGCACTGAATCATGACGGCAGCGTTGTAAATGTGAGAGTCACTGATCTCATTACCGACGTTCTCTCCTGCAGCACGATGGCCGTCCCTCCTTCATACTCGGACCTGGGCAAGTCCGCCAAGGACATCTTCAGCAAAGGCTACGGTGAGTTCAGTCTGAGCCCCAACCGGTGAATCAGGAACCGGTAGAACACGCAGCCCGTTCTTTAACGTACAGACGGATGATGCTGGTGCCAGTGGGGCAGATTAAATACAGTACCTAGCTTTAAAGTAGGTATGTAATATCAAAATATGAACAAAATAACATTATTATAACACGATGTGTGATCGTTAATGATTACATTTAATACGAACAAAGTTACTTTATCACAATGATGCAAAAAAGTATAGAAAAATCAAGTATTTTTATTTTGTAAAATGTGACTCTTCAGTCGGGACACGTTAGCTTAGCTTAGCATAAAAGCCTGGCTCTCTCCAAGGATTAAAAAATAAATAAACATTAACATGTTGTAGCTCTTCTGTTTAATCTGTACAAAACCTGAAATGTTAAAAAGACAAGTTGTGGTTTTACAGGGTAAAGACGAGACTTTATGCTAAGCTAAGCTAGCCGTCTCCTGGCTCCAGCTATTTTCTCTATTGCTAATGATTTATATAAATCCTAAAATGTTCCTCTGCATCTTCCTGCTCTGGATTTCTACTCACCTCCTCTGTCTGTGACTGAACCAGGCTTTGGAGTCGTGAAGCTGGACCTGAAGACCAAATCACAGAGTGGAGTGGTGAGGAAGCTTTTGTCATTTGTCTCTCGATGCTTTCTGCCTTCCCTTGTCCTGCATACCTCCTAAAACGACCCTCCGCTTCTACCTGAGCTCCTGCTGTAACCCGGAGCGTGAAGGTGTCGCTGATGCAGATCTGCTGAACTTGTTCTCCATCTTAAAGAAACACGACTATGAACCCCCGTTAGTGTGTTTGTGGCCTGTGTGTGTCTCCTAACCGCTGCTCTGTCTCCATGCTGCTGCTCTTCTGCACCGGACCCTAATGTAGATGGTAAGAAGGTGTCAGAGCTGCTGTTTATTCATCATAATAATAATAATAATAATAATAATAACCACCGCCATCGTTTGTCCTTGTGATGATTCACGCAGCATGAATATCTGTGTTTGTGCTTCCCATGTTCTGTCATCGCTCACAATCACATCGAACTTTTCAAATGTCAGTCGAACGTTTCCTCCAGTTTTTAAGCCATCTTTTAGTTTAGTGCGACATCTTCCATCAATGAACTCGAGGCTTAAATCACAACTTTCATCTCTGAATTATATGAGATTGATTATTTGGACGACGTAATATTTTGTGACATTACAAAGTTTTTCACGATACGACCGATACGAGACGATATCTGCTCATTTAATTCAGTTACATTTATGTCAACTCACTAAAAGCACTTTTTTAATTCTGCGGCTCTTACAGACGTTTAAATGAATAGAAATAATAAAAACGTGAATGTTTAGTCATAATTTACATCATAATATCAACATTCATCAGTCTTCTGTCCATCTTATGTTCCTGGTGTCCCGCATGGATTCATGTTCAGTCTCTGGTCGTCTGTTGTGTTTTATTGACAGATTAATAATGATTTCACATTTTGTCTCAGTCGTGTTCTGTTGTTTAATGTCTGTATGTTTTGCTCATAATGCTTCTCATATTTCATAACTAGGGCTGTACCAAAAGTCTTTATTCGACGTCTGTCGTCATGTTTTATGACGTCGTCACCCTAAAAGATAAAGTATTGTTTGTTATTGTGGTTCTATGAATTAAATACGTTAGTGCAGCAAGCGGGAGAGTAATATTGAGGTTATGAATAAAGTGATTCTTCAGATTAAACAAGTCTTTAGTTTTTATGAAATCAACTTTCTTTAATGAAGATATTAGTTTTTTTTAAAAAGCCAACAGATACAGATTGAAGCTGAATATTTAGTTATGTTAGAAACATACAGACTATTTGGTGCAGCCCTCCAGATGATAATCTGACCTCCGTCCTGATGTGACTGCATCTCATCGACGTCTTTGTACTCATAACCGATGTCCTCCCGACAGGAGTTCAACACATCTGGATCCAGCAACACGGACACGGGGAAGGCCGCCGGAAGCCTGGAGACCAAATACAAGATGAAGGAGCTCGGCCTGAGCTTCAACCAGAAGTGGAACACGGACAACACGCTGGCCACCGAGGTTACCGTGGAGGACCAGGTCCGTCATGACTGACTCACTTTCTCTCACTCACACTCACACACACACACACACACACACACACACACACACACACACACACACACACGAAGGTTTAACACTTTACTTTACCTACAGCTGACTCAAGGACTGAAGGTTGCTCTGGAGACGTCTTTTGTACCAAACACAGGGTGAGATGACGTTTGTTTGTACGAATCTTTGATATTTGAACTCGTGGGATCAGAACTGTGGGTCAGACCTTAAGCAACAATGAACATTAAGAGATGACCTCACCTTTAACCCTATGAATCCATATTCTCAGTAAGAAGAGTGGAAAGCTGAAGACTGCCTACAAGCGTGACTTCGTGAACCTGGGCTGCGACGTGGACTTCGAGGGTCCCATCATCCACGCCGCCGCCGTGTTGGGCTACGAGGGCTGGATTGCCGGCTACCAGATGGCCTTCGACACGGCCAAGTCCAAACTGGCCCAGAACAACTTCGCCCTCGGGTACAAAGCCGGAGACTTCCAGCTGCACACCAACGTGTGAGTACTCACCGATTACAGTCCAGAAGAAGAGAACATAGACTCTGAAACAACTTCCTGTAAGAAGATCAGTCGAACATCAAGGTTCAGACCAGACGGAAAACCTCCGGTTCTGTCGAGTGAAGCCAAAGCTTCCTGTGTTAAAGCTGCATTCTCTCTAGTG